TACTCATTATAGAATCCTTAGTATTAAAGAATACAAATGTGGTTTTGTAATTTACCATAGCCATTAGAATCTTTATCAAGATACACAAGAACAACTATTGTCCTTAACATTAAAATAGTTCATGTCAGAACATGAAATTTATTTTAATGTTCCAGCTATGGTTGGTATAAAGCGACGTTTCTTTAATTCCAATACTAAACCAAAAGACAATGGCAAGATGTATATTCATACAGGCAATGCAGCAACCTTTGCTCATCTCCAACGTGTATGTCAACTTCTCCCTTTCGCAGTGGTCTACTTCTTTTTAGTTTCTCTATATTTATATAAATATATGATTTACATTTAGTATCAAATAACTAAGAAACTTGTGAAGTAAATGTAAGTCATGCAATATTCCTTCCAATTGACCTTTCATTCTATAATGAAACTTTCGTCAATATGATCCGATCAATTACAAGATATGAAATTGTGTCAATCCCAAATTTCGATCATATCTTTCACTCCACTATTAAGTCAATATAAGTCGAAAACTCCTTTTCGACTTATGAGTACACTTTGGCCAAGGATTTCGTTATCGACTTAATTGAATGAAGCGCAGATCATAATCTCCTACTATCTAAGAGTGACGAATCTTTTATTGGTCAATCACAACCTTTATACGATTCTTGACGTACCCGAACGATGTCGTATTAGCGGCCCTTTGCAAAACAACATCCAACACCACCAAAATATGATTGTCCTCATATAAGGTACCATGACGACCTCAAGTATAAGGACCAATTCCACTGCCGAACGTTAGAGATTAACCACTGACACTCAGATAGTTATCCATGTGGAATCTCTCGGCGGGTCTCCAATGTTTTGTTCTATAACGAAACATCCACATGTCATTTAAGTGTCACCACACTTTAACTTGTGAAATCAGCTACTTACTTCACAAGTAAGAAATGCCACACGTGATAATCTATCCGTAATAACGATATTCGTATCTCGTTATTACTTATGACCACGGACGATTTAAGATTCAATCAAATGTAATTTATATCTCACAATCACAACTTCTTGCGATTAACAAATTACGAAGATTTAGATCTACGGACTCAATTGTTTATTTAATTGTCTATTAATTAAATAATAGATCTGTCATTAAATTGCATTAATTATATATATAAGTATTTATGTCCAAAATTGATTGGACCTATGGTATAATACTTATAATAACAACATGTTCTTGTAATTTGTATGAGTAATATTGCTGCAGTTGGGTTTTTCATTTATTGATTTGTATTTTTGAAATCATCCTTTCATTGGTAATATTCTATTAGATTTATCGGAAATCTTTTTTATTTTGTTTGTTGATGCATTGATCGAAAAAAGTATATCTAATTGCAACAATGTTGTTAGATTTGACAACCAAAAAGAGAATAACAAGTGATATCATCTTGCAACAGCTTTATCTACTTCCCCAATTTGAGTTATTAAGAAATAATTTCTGCTTATTTCAAAGTTCAAACCACTTTGAATATATACTCATTCTCAGTAAACTCTAGTCACTATCATGGCAGACATTTGAATTATTAAGGTTTAACATGGGTCATTTTCACATATTTCACCTAAGATTTTAGAGCTTGTTACTTGCCACTTTCCACTTCTTTTTCTCCATAAGCTTAACTTTCTTAGACAGGAATAAATGAAGAAGAAAGAACTGAATATGTTATAATACTTACATTTTTAATGTTGAATTGATCAAAATATGCTGAATTTCTCAGTTCTTGTAAAGGATCAGATCCATTAACTAGGAATATATAACTGATCAATATTTACAACATTATTTAAGGGTAATTGGCACAAAACGTTTCTACCTATCATGTTGATTGTGGAAAATATCCATACTTTTCAATTTTTGACATTTTTGTTCTTATTTCAATGTTTGGTTGCGCAAAATATCATTTTCCCGTTTTTTGAACGTAAAATGACCATTATACCCTTTTATTTAAAACAAAAACCAAAAAAGAAAAGAAAAATAGAGCACAAATTGCAATCATACTCCCAAACATTTTGAAAAAATATAAATCGATCCAACAAATTATAAAAATTAAAAAAATCATCTCTTTATTCTCTCCTCTCCCTCTTCCTCCCCCACCAAAACTCCACCCTCCTTCGAAATCTTCATGTACCAGAACATCCAAACTGATGCTACGATCCAGAGCCCAATCCATGCCACTAAAAGCTTCCTCCACCAGTTTTTCCTAACTTTCCTCGCCCCGATATACTGGGAATAATAACGGTGAAAATTATAAAAACTTTCCAAAATCAAATCCCACAATTTTATCTGTATCCACCCTACACCACCAAGCCAATTGGTCCTGGTAGTCATGACTCCGCCTTTACTTAGCAAATTCAAAGAAATAAGAGACAAAAACTAGCAACATGACATCAAAAGTTGATACCTTACCTTCAAGCCAAATCCATTTACATGGAATAAACTCATCTAACAAAAAATTAACTAGGAAAAGCAACTTCAAGCAATATCAAATTGAAACCCTTTCTGACTCTTGCTATATTCATATCAATCTAACAAAATCAAATTGAGCCTCTTCTGAATTCTTGCTATTTTCATGTGAATCTAAAATCTCCCACACTGTCAACCCTCCACGAACCTCCACTCTCAGTAAAAAGTTATATCTTATCCGCCCCCCAGGGCACTTCTCCACTGGCAAAGGACGGACGCTGTCAAATCTGGCAGAGCAGAGGTCGTGAGTTCGAAACATGGGACTCTTGGAAGGCAAGGATTTATTCTTGGAAGGCAAGGGAACATTTGGAAGGCAAGGATTTATTTTTGGAAGGCAAGTGGGAACTTGGAAGGCAAGGATTATTCTTGGAAGGCAAGGTGCAACTTGGATTGGCTTGCTTGGCACTTTGTCAGATCAGGTGGGGAGCGCTCGGACCCTGGCCAGTTGGAGGCACATCCTGCGATTAACCGGACTGTGTGAAGAGGGGCCAGATCACAGACCCAAGGATTAGTCTAGAATAGGACACCTTGTAAAAAAAAATTGGAGAAATATATTGAAACAAACTAAGCAAAGATTCTTTTAAGAATAGATATCAAATAAAAAACAACCGACAAAGAACCTGACAGCACAAATTGCCACAAAGAGTCTCGATAGAATCTTGAAATCAAACTAATCAAGCATGTGGGTGTTTTAATTTTTGAGTTTGACCCTCAATTTCTAGCCTGTTTAAATTAAAAATAAGTAGATTACGGGTGCACTAAACAGTAATAGGGTCTCGATTAGATTTTATGGTCAGAGCTTGGGTGGGTTTCGAAGAGGGAAGTGAGAGCTTCATGGTGGTATGTTGGTCCGACGCCCAAGGTGGCCGAAGGGTGGAGTTTTGGTGGTAGAGGAGGAGAGGAGGAAAAGGGAGAAGAGAGAAGAAAGAGATGATTGTTTTAATTTTTATAATTTATTGGACTGATTTATATTTTTTCAAAACGTTTGGGAGTATGATTGCAATTTGTGCTTTATTTTTCTTTTCTTTTTTGGTTTTTTATTTTAAATAAGAGGGTATAATAGTCATTTTACATTCAAAAATGGGGAAAATGATGTTTTGCGCAACCAAAAGTTAAAATTAAGGCAAAAATGTCAAAAAATGAAAAGTAGAAACGTTTTCCACAATCAACATGAAAGGTATGGACGTTTTGTGCCAATTACTCCATCATTTAACTAATTGAATTCTATGAGATCTAATATTATATTTGCACTAGCTCAGTTGTAGAGCAGTTGGTGATTGAAACGAACCCTAACTGATTTATATTTTTTCAAAACGTTTGGGAGTATGATTGCAATTTGTGCTTTATTTTTCTTTTCTTTTTTGGTTTTTTGTTTTAAATAAGAGGGTATAATAGTCATTTTACGTTCAAAAATGGGGAAAATGATGTTTTGCGCAACCAAAAGTTGAAATAAGGGCAAAAATGTCAAAAATGAAAGGTATGAACGTTTTCCACAATCAACATGAAAGGTATGGACGTTTTGTGCAAATTACTCTATCATTTAACTAATTCAATACTATGAGATCTAATATTGTATTTGCACTAGCTCAGTTGTAGAGCAGTTGGTGATTGAAACGAACCCTAACTGATTTATATTTTTTCAAAACGTTTGAGAGTATGATTGCAATTTGTGCTTTATTTTTCTTTTCTTTTTTGGTTTTTTGTTTTAAATAAGAGGGTATAATAGTCATTTTACGTTCAAAAATGGGGAAAATGATGTTTTGCGCAACCAAAAGTTGAAATAAGGGCAAAAATGTCAAAAATGAAAGGTATGAACGTTTTCCACAATCAACATGAAAAGTATGGACGTTTTGTGCCAATTACTCACTCATTTAACTAATTGAATACTATGAGATCTAATATTGTATTTGCACTAGCTCAGTTGTAGAGCAGTTGGTGATTGAAACGAACCCTAACTGATTTATATTTTTTCAAAACGTTTGAGAGTATGATTGCAATTTGTGCTTTATTTTTCTTTTCTTTTTTGGTTTTTTGTTTTAAATAAGAGGGTATAATAGTCATTTTACGTTCAAAAATGGGGAAAATGATATTTTGTGCAACCAAAAGTTGAAATAAGGGCAAAAATGTCAAAAAATGAAAAGTATGAACGTTTTCCACAATCAACATGAAAGGTATGAACGTTTTGTGCCAATTATTCCATCATTTAACTAATTGAATTCTATGATATCTAATATTGTATTTGCACTAGCTCAGTTGTAGAGCAGTTGGTGATTGATCATTCGTCGTATATTTGAATCATATTGGGGGATATTTGATTCATTATGAATGAAAAATTGAGATGATTAATTTCGTACTTTCTTTGATAAGAAAATTAATTAGGTACTCAAGTGCATATCTCTGAAAAAATGGAGGACTCCAAATGTTATGTTTCTAAGCCCCAGTTGCTGAAAAGGACCACATTGACAAGTTGATAAAACTCAAAATGGCAACCCAGGTGGCAATGGCATAGGCGTTTCGCTGTTCATGATCGCGTCTCTGTGTGAATATAATGCTCAATTTGCATCATTTCCTCCAATTCTTTTAATTTTTCCTCTCAGACTCGAGTCTCCGATTCCCTTTTTGCCTTTCCAAACCCTGTGAAATAGATTTGCAAAGTTCCTTTCTTTACTTGTGTTGACTTCAGCAAATTCCATTTTTCAGCGGCTGATTGGAAAATGGTTTCCCCGGAAAACACGAATTGGCTGTATGATTATGTAGTGTAGGATGTCTCTGTTCCTGAAGGGAATTTCTCTGCTCAAGATTCTGGATTTTCGTGGTCTGTGCAACCCTTGAATGGTTCATCCATTGTCAGGTAATATCTGAGAATTTCTTCATTTCGATTTTGCGCCCCTTTATTTTGATACTACTTGTAATTAATAAAGCTTTGGACTTTTCGGCTAGTGATCTTAAAAAAATAATAATAATAATCACGGTACTTTTTTGTTTTAGTAATTTTTAGTGGTGCTTACAATCATTTGGCAGTTGGTGATGAAATGTTAGCTGTTTTAGGATTTTAAGGGACTCGTGCGTTTTTCCTCCATGTTTCCTTAATTTCATATTTTTTTGGTTTGTGTAATCTGTTTCACTTCCCCCCAATTTCCCCATTTTATCTAGTCCTTTTTGTAGCCACGAATTTTAAGTTGGGAGTTGATTAGTTGGAAATGCTCTTCTAAGCTAATAATTAAAAGTAAATAATTCTCTAGTAGCAGTTGAAGTCTTTTACTGTTTAATGCATTTATGAATCTAAATTTTATGTATGATACTGCAAATATTTTCTATGTCTGGGGCTGTATTTAGATTACGTCATTCATTTGATGTGGGAGAATGGAGGAAGTTGTTTTCGATGTCATATATTAGTATTGAAGGATTTCCGTGTAATGTAATTTTGGGTAGTTATCCTCATGAAGATGCTGTTATTACCATTGCATTTACGAGTACACAAAGCTTTAGATGCTGAATTTATGGTATGTTATGGGTTGTTATTTAGGTTCCAGATCAAAATGATATGTGCTCATCATAAATCAGAAAAAGAGGAGAATCGGTTTGCTTTAGATCAGATTTTGTATGTTCTAATTTAAATGATTTTTATTTTTATTTTTTATTTTTTATTTTTTCCCTTTCAGGTAGTCCATGTACCCTATATCTTTGATAGTTGATTTGTTGAAGCTTCTTTTCAAATTTTTATTAGACCTAAACAATACTACAATAGCTGCCTTTTTTTAAAATCTTGTAATCTTATATCATAATGAAGGAGATTATGCTTCTTAATAAAATTAAAGGCATTTTCTTAGTTTATTGTCTTGTGAAAAGTGTAGTCATTCTACTCACATTGGAAAAGTTTTGGTCATTAACTTTTATTGGCAGACGCTTCTTTTCTACTATGCGGATTTGGTTATAGTTTGGGCTAATTATTGTTTAGAAACTATTAATCTTCCATTTGATGGTGCACTGAGATTGAGGTGCTATATGGTATATTTTTTGGTCATGATTTAGTCTTTCCTGTTTGAAGATAGGTTATTATGAAGTTCCACTGATGAGGGTTTCTAAGTCATTTTAGATGAATGAATAATGGGTCTTCCTAATTAATAAATTGCGCTAACCACTCAGGCAACAGCTTTCATTGTGGATGAATAATGATCTGCATGTTGGACAATTCAAGTTATGTTATTCATGAATGTGTTGCTATAATAAGTTGTTAATTCATACTGACAAATGCATGTTAATGATTTTGTTAGGTTAAAATTCAACCGTATTATCGCTATAGTCCTTTGCCGAAATATAACCAACTGTGGATATTCTTGGTGTTTGCTCAAAGGTCAATGATGTTGATTGGAAAGGTCTGGAGATAATTTTCTTACCAATTATTTTAGTGCTTCTGGATGGAATAGTTTGTAAAATTTGTGGGTCTGATGGAAAGAGGACGGTGTTCTGGTATATGTGTTTGAAGTCAGTGTAAGTGTAGATTCTTTTATTTGCTAAAATAGGAATCTTCAAGAACCTTAGCACTTGCATCTTATATGCTGTAATCCTCTTTTCAAAAATTTTGTAAACAAATAGCACACCCCTCCACTAAAACAGGCTGGAATGCCTGTACTGTATGCCTGATCTATAGAGAGTGGGTGCTCTATTCAGCAATACAGGATGTCCCTGCATAACTTCCTGAAGTATTTTTCCAATTTTGAAAGAGTTCATATATTCATTGTGTTTACAACTGCTCCTCTCCATTCATTTCTTTCTCATTAACTTAATATTTTGTCAATTCATCACTTTTCTTATCCTTTCCTTTTCTGTGATCTTACAGCGTTGAAAATGATTGCTCATTTGGGGATTCAGATGTCCAGAAGGAACTTGGCTCAAAGAAGCGGTAAAGAACTACTACACATTTTGTATTGGTCCAAAGTTTTGGTAAAATGGTGAATTGCGTTCATTAGAACCAAATATTCCCCAAATTTAGGAACAGTTATGTTTAATCTGCATTTTTTTTTTTTTTTGTGGGATAGTGGGTGGTGGTGGTGAGGGGGACCTGCCTCAATCTTGTTTCAAATTTCACCGTTTACAAATTACATGATAAACTTAATGTGTAACTAAGAGTTTGCTCTTATGAACTGAACATTGCTAATGCAGATTCTGACATTTCATAAAATGGAACTGTTATTTGTGTGAAAAAAATTAAACGACGCCATGGATATGGGGTTACTTTTGTTTAAATCAATATGTCCAGTTTATAAAATCCTTGTTCTAGCAAACAATGTTTCATCTCACCTTGTTATGTTCTTCACAGGGCTAGAGCTGAATCTTGTGCTCCATCAAATTCCAAAGCAAGAAGGGAGAAGCTACGAAGGGATAAGATGAATGACAGGTGTGACCACGTTCTCTGTTCTTGCTCTGTGCACTCCCGCCCCCATT